GGACGTGTTCTTTAATGCTCTACAGGGTTTTTAAGATCTTTAGTACACTTGAGCTGAAATGTATGGCAATTTTCTCAATGGATATTTGTTGCCACTGAACTGTAAAATATATGATAGAAAACTTAGTATTTACAGAATACTACTGCTGTATCAAGCATTGGGATAGGGCCCTTATATGGATTAAATCATGTAATTCCCATAGCAACATCTAGTTTACTGATGAGAAGCTCAATCACCAAAGAGACTAAGTGACACAAAAATGTCATATAGCTAGAAAGTGATGGCATTTGCATACTAACAAAACCATTTTTGCCCTTTTGAATTCCAACAATTTCAAGTTCTATATTTTGCCAAGACCAGACTTTAAGGGATAATCTCTTTTATTCATTTATTTTTATTATATTTATATGATGAAAACATTATTATTTGATGAAATACATCCAATGAAATTTTGGGGGGGTATAGTTAAACATTTTATGGATAATTTACTTTCTGGTTGTTAAAATGAAAATCATCAAAAATTAAAAACGACCTACTTTGTGTAATTACCTAAATGTTGTATTTAAATTAGTTGAAAAAGAATATGTCAATGAAGGTGAGTTATTGTGGGTTTACAATGCTATATTATGTATTTTATCTACCTTAATTTATCATAATTCACACTTGACAAATGTCAATGCACTGGTGATTTAATAGGCTTTTGGAGAGCAAGTTGTGTAACCACCCCAAGCCTGTTTTCTTCTTTAGGATAAGGCCTTTTCCTTACTGGTTTGTCATGGTAACTTCATGAGATAACCTGTGTAAGCATTTGCAGTGTGTGGACCACATGTAAGCTCTTACTGAGGAGAATATCAAGTGATTTCATTTCCCTTTATTATAGAAGTAACCACCTCAAAACTATTTTAATTTGCTCATGATTTTGTAGGTCAGGGTAAGGTTCAGTTGGGTGGTTCATCTTCTATCGACTGGAACAACTGAGGTTGGAGGGTCCTCTTCCAAGTCGACCCCGTTGTCCTCATTGTCCCCACAGTAGTTCCCAGCTGTTGCTGCCTATCAATACCACCAAAATCTGGGCTCCACTCCAAAAGGATTGAATGTGGTTGGTCAAGAGAAATCAAGAGAGGGCATTTCTATTATTTTCATAGCTTCCTAAGTAATGTTAATATACAACCAGAGTATAGAACCAATGTAGTAAGGGTTCAACTTTAATTTTCTCTTAAAATAAATATATTTTCTTCTAATTACCTAAGTGCACACTATCGCAAAAAATATAGAATCCAGTGATTTAATCAACAAATGTTTATGAGAACCCATGTGATTGAGAACTTAGAAAATCACACTGCTGCGTATATATTCAAAAGAAATGAAATAATTAGTATCTATACTACTATGTTTATTGCAATGCTATTCACAATATCAAAGATATGAAATCAGTCAAGGTGTCTATCAACAAATGAATTAATAAAGTGAGTATAACTCTATACAATGTAATGTTACAGTATGCAAGCAAGCTGTATACAATGTAATATTATTCCATCATAAAAAATATGAAAGTCCTTCATTTGCAGTAAAATTGGGTGGTTCTAGAAGACATTCCTTTAACTGAAATAAGCCAGGAACAGAACAGCAAATACTACATGTTCTCCCTCTTATATGAAAGCTGAAATTCAATCCATCTGAACATGGAATAGTAATTTGTAGAGGCTGGGAGGGATGTGGGAAGGACAAGGGAGGTTGAATAATGCATACAAAATGCAGATAGAAAGTTCAAGTTTCTACTGTTACACAGCACAGTGGGGTGACCATAGTCCACAATAGCCTATGAGTAAATAGAACAGAAGAGCTTAAAGGTTCCAATCACAAAGTAATGATGAAGAGAGGAAAACAGTGATTGCCATGAGCTGATCAGTATGTATGATATACATATCACATATGAAATATCGCACTCTACCCCATAATTCTGTGCAATTATTATTAATTAAAAATTTAATCTTAAAATATATTGTAAATAAAAAGATTTGAAAAATCTTTAAGATCACTATAAACATGTTGATGCATTACCATATAGCCTCCCCACTTTCATCATCACTTCTTACCCTATTGCTACATTAATGTTTTATTCAAATCTTCATAATCAAGTCAATAAATCCATGAAAAGTACTCAGCATCAGTAGTCACTAGGGAAATGCAAATCAAAACCACAGTGGAATACTACTTTATATCCTTTCGAATGGCTTCTATCAAAACCAAAACCCCCAAACTAAGAAATAGCAAGTGAGGAGAAATCGGCACTCTTTTGGTTACTGGTGGAAATGTAACATATAGCTATATTGGAAAATAATATGGAAGTTTCCCAAAAAGTAAGATATAAAATTACTTTTGATCCAGTGATGCCACTTCTAAGAAATATCCCTGAAGGAATCCAAAGTAGAGAGATGAACAGTTTTTGCACACCCTTGTTCATAACAGCACCATTCACAATAAGCAAAAGATGGAAACAACCAAAATGTCCATCCATGGATAAATGCATAGACAAAATGCAGAACACACACACACACACACACACACATACACACACAATGTAGTGCTGGCCAGCCTTGAGAAAAGAGTGAGATTTTGACACATGCTATACATAGAAAAACCTTGAAGACATTTTGCTAAGTGAAATGTCATAATGTCATGTAATTCCATTTAACATCAGATACTTTGAGTAATCAAATTCATGGAGACAGGAAATGGAGCATTGTTTTCCAGGGGCTGGGGACAGACATGAATGGAGAGATTATTGTTTAATGGGTGCAGAGTTTCACTTTAGGAAGGTAACTCGTTTCTGGAGATTGAGGGTAGCCATGGTTGCTCAACATATGGATGCCTTCAGTGCAGCTGAACTGTATTTCTTTTTTTTAGATTTTTTTTTATTTGACAGGTAGATTTATAGACAGTGAGAGAGAGAGAGACAGAGAGAAAGGTCTTCCTTCTGTTGGTTCACTCCCCAAATGGCCACTATGGCGGGCGCTGCGCCGATCCGAAGCCAGGTGCCTCTTCTTTGTCTCCCACGTGGGTGCAGGGGCCCAAGCACTTGGGCCATCCTCCACTGCCCTCCGGGGCCACAGCAGAGAGCTGGACTAGAAGAGGAGCAACCGGGACTAGAAGTCGGCACCCATATGGGATGCCGGTGCCGCAGGCAGAGGGTTAACCAAGTGAGCCACAGTACAGGCCTGAACTGTATTTCTAAGTATGGTTAAAATGGTAAATTTTACCATGATACAAAATATTCATAACCAATACCTGTGTCCAGAGATACTGAAATTAGCTATAGCAGTTCTTTCTGTGTCCACCCCTACAGGGCCCACCTACCTGAGACACTGGATCAGGTGGGTGGACATCTGCTCTTCCACACTAGGACCCATCACTTCCGTTTTCGGTTACTCTCTCAGGAGCCATACATGTGACAAATTGTCACAGCCACTGTCCTCTGGATCATAGAACAGGACAGCCTTGAGCAGCACCTTTTCTTTCAAGAGAGAATCCCCAAGGTTCTCTGTAACCCAGTGGGTCCAAGAGTTTCTGATACACTATTTCCCAAAAAGGAAGGAGAATAAATACAATAGAAATTTGATTTCTGCTAAAGTGCCTCATTCTCAATATACTATAGATGGAAGAGCAGTGAAAACCTGTTGTTGAGTCTTTAATGGTGTAGTAATTCACTTTAAAGTTTAATTTGCGCAATGTTAAAAATATAGACAATATATAGGAGGAAGCTCCTTATCTCCGTGCCATAGATGCTCAACAGTCAGTTTCAATTAAATCTTAACCAGTTAAGTCCATGTTCAATTTCCAGGTTAAAAGTAAGTGAAATTTTGATTACCCCCATCAAAAGTGAAATCAGCACTTTGAATTCCTAGAGGTTTTACTTTGTATCTAATGCAGTATATACCTAAAGCCAAAGACAATAAATGGTAACTTTACATATGAATACTTTTATCTCATCAACTTATCAACTACACTGAGAGCCCTTTTAAAGAAAGGGATGTGGAATGGCATTGTGTTACAGTGGGTTAATTAGCTGTTTCCATAATGGAATCCCTTATTGGAGTGCCAGTTTGAGTCCTGGCTGCTCCATTTCTAATCCAGCTACCTGCTAATGTGCCTGAGAAGGCAAAAGAATATGGCTCAAGTAGTGGGCCCCTGTCACCCATGTGGGAGTCCTAGATGGAGTTCCAGGTTCCAGGTGTTGGCTTGGCCCAGACCTGGCTGTTGCAGCTATTTTGGGAGTGAACCAGTGGTTGGAAGAACTCTCTCCCTTTCTCTCTTTCTCCTTTTCTCTTTGTCATTCTGCCTTTAAAATAAATAAATAAATACATCTTTTTAAAAAATAAAGGGATGAGGTCATATGCATTTGTTTTATTGTACTCTCTGTTATACCTTTTGAATACCTCAACCCAAGTTGGTGCTTAATAGTGCATATTTGTAAGGGAAATTATGCAATTGAGTCTAATCGGCATAAAACAAGAGGAAAACCCAAACATTTTATATGAGTGATAATTATATATTATTTATTTAAAAATTCTGACCATTTGTTGACCAGAGTTTGTACAAAAATTAGAGCAATGCTTGCAGATTGTACACTTAGTTTGTAGAATTCTGTAATCCAACCTGTTAATCTCACCCATGCTGAAATGCTCTTCATTCTGGGAAGATGTCACCATGGGCAAGATGTGCCGTTTTCAGATGTGCTCAGATGAACATGTGGAGACTGGCTTACTCCAGGCCTGTGAGTTTGGGCGCAGCTCAGTCAACCTGCAGACGTCTGAGGTATTATGAGCAGGTCCTATCACATCCGACTGTGGAATTAGACTTAAAAATCTGTCTACCAAAAATGCTACCACCTCTCAGTACCCCACAGATATCTGCGTCTGTGCCACTCCTTCTTGACCTCTGCTGCTCCTCTGGTGTTTCCAGCGTCCCTTCCTTTGCAGACTCATCACTGCCGCAGCATCCTCCACCTTCCAGGAGCCATGGGATCTAAAGGACGTCCACACTGCCTGCTGTCCCTGTGGTGTACAGTGTCCCCACCTCTTCCGAAGCTCCTGATGGCGTTCACCGTCACTTCCTTTTAGCACTGAAGATCTTCCAGCTAAGAAGTGTACTGAGCAAACATGAAACAAAATTCTGAAGAGTTGTTTAAAATTGGATACTGTAATGGTTTTTGAAATTCAAAAATATATGGATATGGACTCAATGATCTTTTTCTGTCTGCACATTTTTATGAAATGAATGTATAGAGTAAAAATTGACCAAGGGCTGCTTGGAGAGCTTAGGGATACCCCTTCTGTTTTTAACCAATTTTCAAAAAAAAAAAAAGGCTTATGCCTTATAATTTTGCAGAAGTCAGATATCAAGGTACACTGGCTACTTTTTTGTAGGTAATGAATTCTGGTAAAAAGAAATAAGCCAGATATTAAAATCTTTTAATTAATAATTGCCAGAGTCAAGGCCACCACGTAGGGTTTCTCCATAAAACATAAGATGCACATTAAAATTTGTATTACAGATTATCAGCAAATCTCAAGTTCAGATTTAACTGAGTGATTTATATTTTCATTTGCCAAATTTGGCAGCCGTGCTCTGAGGCATGGAGTGCTGGGGTGCTGATACTTCCACATGGGTCATAGGATAATCATAATCACTTGCCTCTACCACTTTACACTAATCTAAACTTTCTGAATCACTAGCTGTGTTCTCTGAATTTATAGAATAAACAATTTCCATTGTCTGTTCAGGTAATCCCTAGCTAAATTAAGCAACTTTAAGAACTAGCTTCTTGTTTTGAAACATTGCGATACAGTCAAATCAATCACCATTTTTAGTGCATAGGAAATAAATGATTTCAGTTAAAGAAACATTAAGTTTCCTACTCACATTTTCTTTTTATTTTCTCTTGGTATCAGCATACTCTGTTTTGTAAAGTAGAAAAGATAATGGCTATAAAGTGCAAACTATGACAAAAGGAACAATTATAAAGGTTTTATTTGCTTTTTTTTTTTTTTTTAAGGAAGAAGTATATGAGGGAGGACAGGATTCTTTTAAACAGATAAAACAGTTTTAACCTTTATAGTCTACAAAAAACATTTAGAGATATCATCAGATTCTGTTGACAAACCAAACTACCAATTTTAAAAGATTACTACAATAAACCCTGGAGATGTACTGGGAAGATAGCACAAAGATCTAGCTTCAAAAAACCAATTACATAAATGTAGGATGATGGAGACCTGAAGAGCACCCAGGGTTTTAGTTGATCCGAAGTTCAATATGAGACAACAATGTGGCAGGAGTATAAAAGACTTCCCTGCATTAATCAAAGTACTGTCAGAGGAAGAGAGAATGGAGCAGTGAAAAGCTCTAAATAAATGTGTGAGTAGGATGAGTTGAGTGAGTCACTGGATTGTTCTCTGGCTTAAATAGTGAAGATCTAAACTGCAACGCAGGCTCTGGATGTAAGCTCTCTTTACAAGAGGCGTTGACAAGGCAGAGTGGCCACAAGTGGACCCTTGCTTCAGTGAGAGATCCTAGGGAGTCCCCAGGAACGAGTCTTCCTGGAGACCTGCTCACTGTCCTGCTACTCAGGGGCTCTCCTGTGGAAAATGTTAGTGCATCCATCGAAGTGCAACATTAGAACAGAGGGCAGAAGTTACAGTGGAGAATGTCAAGATAACCAATGTAGTCATTGACCAAATAGCAGACTTTTGCCTCTGGATTTTTAATATAATCAATGAGTTTTATTACACTAAGTAGCCTCTGCCTTTTCCAAACCCTGTGGAGGTGTGGTGCAAAGAGACTAGGCTTCAGAATCCAACTTCTGTCACTTATTAGCCATGTGACATTGTTTGACATTCTCTAAGCTTCCCTTTATTCAAATCAGAATGTGAGAACAGTACCTATCTGAAAGCATTCTTGGGAAGATCAAATGAATTTTGAATAACAGCTATCTGGCATGGAGGAGATATACCTTGAAAACTGCTCTACACAAAAACCTTTTCTGTCTCATGCTTTGGGTGGTAGGTATATATGCCTATTCACTTTGTGTTAATACATTGAGTTGTCTTGTGTTTTTGCTGTATGTCAGTTGGGCTTCAGAATAAAAATGACAAAATTTTTAAAAATTTTAATAATTTAAAGCTAACCTGAAAATGCCATGTGCAATTGCCTTTACATAAGTCATAAGACATCTTTGTTAAAAATTTACATTTGCACATGCATATTCATGGCAGCAATATTCACCATCACCAAAATGTGGAAGGAACTCAAGTGTCATAGATGGGGAAGTGGATAAGCAGAATGGGGTGTATATATGTGAATATTATTTAGCTTTAAAATGGAAGATTCTGGCAAGCGCTGTAATTTGAATGAACCTAATGAACCTTGAAGACATAATGCTAAGTGAAGTAAGCCAGTCACACACAAAAAATACTGTATAGTTCTACTGAACTAGTTTCATAGACAAGTCAAAATCGTAGAGGCCAGGAGCAGAATGGTGGGTGCCAGAACCCTGGGGAGGGAAAATTGGAGCACTGTGGCTCAGTGGATGCAGAGTTTAATTTTTGCAGGATGAAGAAGTTCTGGAGACTGGTTGCACAACAGTGTGAATATACTTGTACATAGCACCAGTAAACATTGTTTAAGCTGGTAAACTGTCTGTTATCTGTAATAACATACAAACAATATTAATAAGTCAACTTTGCATCATTTCAACAGAAAATTGTTTAAACACATGAATAATCATTGCCTTTCCTGACAGTGTAGGTCAATTAACAGAACTTTTCAATACTTGTGTATATGTGATGTCATCCATATTGAAGAAAATCCTTCAAATTATTTCTTTTGGCATCTGCTAAGTGTAACATCAATTTTTTTTAAGATTTATTTATTTATCTGAAAGTCAGAATTACAGAGAGGCAGATGCAGAGAGAGATCTTCCATCCACTGGTTCACTCCCAAGATGGCCACAAAGGCTGGAACTGCACCAATCTGAAGCCAGGAGCCAGGAGCTTCCTTCATGTCTCCCACAAGGATTCAGGGGCCCAAGGACTTGGGGCATCTTCTACTACTTTCCCAGGCCATAGCTGAGAGCTGGATTGGAAGTGGAGCAGCTGGCACTCCGACCGGCACCCATATGGGATGGTGGCACTTCAGGTGGCAGCTTTACCCGCTAGGCCACAACGTCGGTACCGTAACACCAATTTAAAGGATGATACACATGTGTGGTATTTAAGGGTACCTCAGTTAGGTATCCTTAGTCTACATATTCTAGACCTGTAGGAGATCAAAAAGTGTACATTTTGAATCCCCTGAAATTTTATGCGAATGTTGTGTCACATGTGTGTGTATATCTTTGGGAAAGAGAACCCAAAACTTTCACCCAGTCCTCAAAGGCAGCGTGACTTAAAGAAATGAGCTTCCACCATTGCCCATAAGAGACTTGTTTCAATGTCTGGGTACATTGGAGGTGCGTTATCCCCTGCCATCCCCTGCAGTTCTCCAAAGCAGTGATTAATAACAGCATGCCACTTACTTGGCAGGACCATGTGGTGTCTCACTGGGCTCAGCCCCGTGCCCAGGACTACTAAACATGTTCTTCAGTGACGGGGATGATGGAATAGAGTACATGCTCCCCTAGTAGGAGGGTGTCATAATGTCAGAGAGGAAGCAAACCTATGAGGACAGGATTGGAATTCCAAATGCTCAGAATAACAGAAGTCAGGACTGTGAGGTCACCAAGGACATGTCAGGAAGGGAACAGGCCAGCAGGTCTGATGGAAAGACCTGGCCAAGGAAAACCCAGCAGCAAGAATTCCACAGCTCACGGTGATCCACCGGTGGAGGGTAAGCTAGAGATAAACCCCTAATGTGGGACCTGCAACTGCGGCTAAGCAGTCCTAAGAGAAACAGAGGCATTTTCTTACCTGTAGGTTATCTTGTAGAGTTGAGATTAATTATATTTGGCTGAACATCGATGATTTCTAAGTAGTTGTTTACATGCTTTATTCTAGCATACAAGCGTGTATATGCATATGGGCATATGTGTCCATGTATGTGTGTATATGTATCGTGTGTGTGTGTACTACCAAAACCCTTGATCATTTGCTTCATTGTTTGGGTCTCTGACACTTAAAAGGGCTGTTGGGGTAATTGGGGAGAATTATTTAGGGAAGAAAAACACAATGAAAGGAAAATCAGTATTGGAACTTAGAGAGCAATCTCTTTTTTTAAAGATTTATTTATTTTACACAGAGAGAGGAGAGGCAGAGGCAGAGGCAGAGGCAGAGGCAGAGAGAGAGAAAGAGAGAGAGAGAGAGAGAGAGAGAGAGAGAGAGAGAGAGGTCTCCCATCCAATGGTTCACTCCCCAAACAGCTGCAATGACCAGAGCTACTTGGATCCGAAGCCAGGAGCCTGGAGCTTCTTCTGGATCTCCCACATGGGTGCAGGGGCCTAAGGACTTGGGCCATCTTCTACTGCTTTCCCAGGCCACAGCAGAGAGCTGGATCAGAAGTGGAGCAGCCGGGGCTTGAACCAGCGCCCATATGGGATGCCAGCACTTCAGGCCAGGGCGTTAACCCACTGCACCACAGCGACAGCCCGAGAGAGCAATCATTTTAAGAGAATAGAAAGTACATACATGGAGAGGGACTGGAGTGAACCTGGCAAGTGGCTGTGCTCTGTGACCAGGCAGAAGAGAAGAGAGCTTTTCTTTCCTCTCTGGACAAGCGTTAGCTCATGTGGCTTTTTCTCTCTGTGATCACTGGGAGATATTCTAGAGTACAGCACGGATGATTATTTATACGACCAGGACATGCATTGCTAGAGTCACTTTTGTTTTCATCTATGTAATAGATTTTACAAGGGGGAGGGGATTGCCTTAGCTGTGTTCCTAACTTGAAGAAACTCTTCTTAAGTTCTTTTATGGAATTAGCTAATTGGACCCAGGTTAATGAAGTCATAGTAAGGAAATTATTATGAATTGCCAGGAACAAACCATTTCCTAAGAGGCATCACTCACAAATTTCAGTAAACACAGTTTCTCTTTTCTACTACAAGCATTTTAGTAAATCTGTTTCCATAATGAATAATTTCAAGTTCAAATTTATAAATCAACCAAAGTAATAAAACTTAAGTGTTATAGAAAAGTTGACCTTGTAAACAAACTAACTCAAATGAAATAGATATTTTTAAGAAGATATTAAGAAATACAGTTTTAACTTAAATTAGTAGCAATAATAGATGTACATTAGCATATTCCTACTATTAGTCCATGGATGGCAGAAGGCTCTTATCATCATCTTCCTTGGTTAAGACTCTCTTCCTGCCCCATTCTTCACTACAGCCATGACCATATATGACCTTGTTAATCGTTTCCATCCAAGGTCTTTTTAAAATATATAACATTTTTATTCTCTGTTTTTAACATGTTTTAGAAAAAAAGCTATTTAGCAGGGGACAAATAACTTGATGATTTCAGAGAAACTTCCTGATTTTTAATTTTCACTTTAATGATAAAAACTTAAAGATGATTTACATATTTTATTGATAATGTGATCACATTTGTGCATCGCCCTCAGCCAAAATATTTGCTATGGCTGTTTCAGATTTCATTGACCCTAAAAGTATCAGTTGTTTTGAATGTTCTCTTCTTTTTGAATTGTGTGTAAAACCTTCAGGTACCTGGTTCCGTGTAATTTCCTACTGCTGCTTTACAAATTATCACTGATTATATCTTTGTAAAGCAGGTTGTTAGGAATGATATACTATAGTTTCAATGACCTGATTATTTTAAAATTTACTTTATTGAGTGAAATTGACATCTTTTGAGTATTAGCTATAGCCCTTGTCTATATTTTGCTGAACTATGGTCTTTTTACTTTTTACTTTTGACTTCTTTATCTAGTGGAGCATTAAGCCTTCGACTATAAGTAAATTAAAAATGTGATCTCAAAAAAAAACTGACAAAAAACTTTTAAAAATGATCACTGACTTGGAAACACAAACTCAGATTTCTTCTCTTAAGACTTCTGAAGTCAGAACTCTAAGACCAGTCTCAAGGAGCTAAATCACAGGTGTTCCCATGGCCGTGTTACTCCTGGGCCTTCAGGGGAGAATCAGTTTCCTTCTCCAGCTTCCAGAGGCAGGTGCCCTTGGCTCCTGGGCCTGCATCCCTCAGCCTGCTGCGGCTCTGGCCCTCCTGCTTCCCTCTTCTAAGGGTATTTTTTATTTGATTGGGCCACCTGGATCATCTCCTAACTTGAGAGCCTGAACTCATTCACATTTGCTAAATCCCTTTTGCCACATTCCTGAGGTCCAGAGATCAGGACATGAAAACTTCAAGGACTCCACCATTCAGGTTTGACACCTGTACTGGTCTCTTACAGGCCGAGAACAGTCCTGCTCCACTGAGATCTGCCAAACCCAACAAGACCTGATGGATGTTTCCCTCGAAGAGCATGAGAGCGAGGGAAGTGAGGGAAGAAACAAGATAAATGAACGAGATAATTTTATGATGATTAGCACAAAGAAAACAAAACAAGTGCATGAGACAGAGAGTGCCAGTGCAGAGGCAGCTCCTTTGCGTAGGGCCTTTAGCGGAGAACTGTTTGAGGAGCCCGCAGTGGGCTAGAGGTCTGGCAGACTTGTGTGTATCTCAGTGATGAACGCCTCAGGCTGCGGGAAGGGTGACTAAGTGCTCCCCAGCAGCGACGATCCTGACTGGGCTGAGCATCAGAGAGAAGGCCCCGGGTGGGACAGGGAGGACGGTGGAGAATGATGTCCATGGAGCGTCCAGAGGGTGCCGGGGAAGTGGGCGGGGACATGCTTGCTGGCCTCGCAGACCACATGGAAGTGACCAGGGTTTTTACTGTGGGCGAGGCCCAAATGTCAACAAAACCACCCTGGCTGTGGTGTGATTGGTCTGTGAAGCCAGAGAGGAAGCTGTGACAGCAGTGTAGAGGTCAGAGGTACTGGGTGAGACATGAGATGATGGCGCAGTGTAATTCTGGGGAAGAGGATGAGAAACAGGAAGTGTTCTAAGTCAGTGGCAAAATTTAAGATGGTTTGGTGGGGCTTTGGCTCTTATATTCCAGTAAAGCTCTACTCGCCTTCTCCCCGCATTCTAATAATCCCACTGTGATGACAACACAAACAATTTCAATAATTACAGCTCTTCCATGAAGGTCAGGGAGTTTCCTCAAGCTTATGTACCGAGTAGGAGAGCAAACAGGTCGGTGCACTGATACAGGTGATCTGAGTGTGTTTCTCTGGTCACAGCGCAGCCAGGGGCAGGGCTGCTCCTAACCTCAAATGTGAGATCAGAGGCGTTTCCTGAGGAATGAGCTGGGATTTGCTGCCGTTCCCGAGGCAAGTGGGAGGCATGTCCTCTGCCCGTTGTAGTTGGCGATGTGTGTGGGGATACAGGCTGACCCCTGAGCCAGTGTTGAGGTGCATGTCCTGGTGGCTGGTTCTCCATGACGTCTGACTGAGTGAGATCACTGGTTCTGTTTTTTGTATGTTTATTTTCTGGATTTCAAGAAAATGAAATCAGAGTATTTGCATTAAAATTTCCTAGCTGAATAAATACCCAAGAAAGAGAAAACGTCCAGACTACTAAGGTATGACTGAATGAATCTCTGTGGTGGTCCTCACAGCCCGTCGCAAACACTGGGTAGGAAGTTCCGGGAGAACAGGCCGCCCTGGCACCAGGAAACCTAATTTGATAAAGGCCTGTGGGAGGCTTGACTTACCTTCCACGTGGCTCAGCTGGTCAGAGTCAGTGTTTTCTTCAAAAGGAAGCTATTTTTATCCCTACTCTTGCAACAGATGGGTACCCTGGTATTTTATAAAAGATGACAGGAAAATTACATTACAAAAAACGGAAGAAGTGGGGAGGTATGCAATAGGATAGTTTATTGGGGGAAAATAGACTAATATCAAAATAGAAAGAACAGAAGCAGAAATAATGAATTTGCCTGCATCAATCTCTTCTTTCATGACCTCATCATGCTGGAGATACCGATCAATTTCACTACAAGCAATAAATATTAAAATGAAATTTTTGAGTGTCTTATCTAAAGCTTCCTGACATCAATTGTTTCCCCGATTTTTTCCCCTGCAAGCATTGAATACCTCTTCATCAATCTTTTATTCCAACCAATCTCGTTCCAATTTCTCTCTTCGCACCACAGGTTTTTTTCTCCTCCTATTTGTGACTTTTCCGTCTTAGCCGAGGAGCATGAATATTATTTTACACTCCACTGTGGCTGCATCTCCATCGATCAGGAAATAAAAAGTGGGTTTGAAGGATGTGTCCTGACCCTGCAGGGCTACAAACAACAGAGACGTGGGTAATGATTCCTCAGCTCGGGGCAGCAGGGCTGGGAGGAGGCCGAGTCCCTGTCTGCACAGACGCCTGAGCTACCTTTCTTGTTAGAACGGACCCAGCTGAGGCCAGGCATTGCCAGGGGAAGTGAGTTTGCAGAGAGCATTTGATTTTTAATGCCACGGTCACACAATACCGGCTTGACAAATATTTCAAAATGTTCTGAAAGCAAATGTTAGGGTCATCATTCTTGTCTGTGTTGCCCTCTTGATCCCATAATGCATTAACAATAACCACTCTTTATACCCTAAAA